CATGAGATAAGAAATGATTATATGTACATAGTAACTTATTAGATTTCTGGGAATATTTGTTGTGAAGCCTGAATAATAACGTGGTATTGAACGCCTAAGTGGAAGGTTATCAGCGAAGCCTGAATTAATGACACAATTAATTAATTGATAAGGAACGCGAAGCTTGACACTTTAGAGCGAAGCATGACGAGATTATTGTTAGGAACGCAGAATAGACTGAAATCCGATAGTAAACTTTAACAATCAGTAAAAGTAAAAGAATAGATACATTTAAAATGTAAAATGAATGAATTGAATTTTACTACAATACGATTGGAATATTTGCTTATCGCTCGGACGCGAGTGAATGAAGCAACAAAGGTCTTATCTCTTCTTCACGCACAGTTTGTAAGAAGGAAGTTACATGGCCAGGTTTCTTTCTTCATAACAGTGTAAAGAAGACCAATATGTGTGTGTAGTATTTATAATTATGTAAATTTGGGAAATTATTAGAAAAAGGTAGAATTAAGCGTATGTAATTATAATTATAACATTTCTTATGCCATGTTGATGTTAGATATTAAAGAATGTATATAAAATAGGCGCCTATTTAAAAATGTTGTGTTTTCAGTGATGTGTTTTAAACAAATGTAATATTTCTTGTATTATATTGTAAATAGATATGTGTTAGTTTATAAGAAATTTTGAGACCTATGAGAACGAAGTAATGAGTATATTGGTATTTCATCAATTCATGTTATGAGATAGTAAGGTTAGCAATGTAATCCAGGCTACTAACATGAAGTTTTAAATGAACTGAAAATGAAGTTTGACAATTGTATCAAATAATTGAGTAAAATGTTGAGTAATGAAAGGGGAGGAGATGTAAGCAACCTGAAATAAGCGCGCGGCGAGAACGCGACCTTGATAGTGGGGTCAGATGTTTGATAAGAGATAATGCAAGCGGAAAGGTTTGTTTACTTTTCAACGTCTGTGATTATAGGTCGTCGAACCGTGTTGTTTAAGGGGCTTAGGGTGTGGATTATGACACCGAGAAAAAAGGGTAAGAACAAAAAAAATGCGTTTTATTTTGATTTGCAAAACAATATTTTTTGTTTGAAAGGGGAGATTTGTCACGATTGTGACAGAAATTATATTTTATTTTCATATGTTATAAGGAAATAGAATTGATTGTTAATACAAATCCTGGAAAACTAGAAGAAACCGGTTTTCTTAGTTCAAGTCGATGCCAGCATTGATAACTGCAAACGCGCAGTCTGGTGGCAAGTGTTCGAGACGAGGTTTAGGGTAGCGATGATTCATAGTTTGGAAGAGAACCACGTTGTTTCAATCTCATTTTGCGTAGTTGTGGCCGACAGTCAACTTGTTCCCTCGATTTGGAGGTATGTAATGCAAATAATTAAGCAATTTATGTTTAAGGTTATTCCAGGAAAAATCAGTACAACTTCAATTTGTAAATATATAGCTAAGCATTTTTGGGTAAACCAATTAATAATTTTACTTAAATTTTGATTAACATGAAGATTGAACACCACGTGTTTTGGGCTCAGGTTTCAACGAGTGTAAAAAAATTGTTTTAGCTTTGTTATCTTAAAAGGGATTAAATTTAAATAGCATTGTGTCAATCTAAATGAGTTTTGTAACTATCAATAACTGTTCAGAGAGAATATTTCGATTAAATTTTATTTTTTAAGGTAAAATTAGGTTGGTTTCAAAGTCATGTTCTAGTTGAACCGACAGGATTTTAATATTGTTTTAGTTTGGGGTAGTTATTAAGGATTTGTCTAAACAGTTATTTATTTCGATATGGAAGAAGGATATGTTTAATTTAGGCTTTGTGTTTAATTAAAATGTCACAGTAAACTGATTTAGTAATTCGTTAAAGAATCAAGATGTATTAGACACATGTTTGAGACAGCTGATTAAAAATTACTTTGTGGTCAGTTTTATTATTATGTAAATTCAGTAAGATTTGTGTTAAAGGGTAATTTGTTAAAATATTTTATATTTTGTACTTAAAATGATTTTATTTAGGGGGTTATTTCAAATGTTTATCAATGAGAACAGAATGAGAATTATTAGTATTCTGTGTTTAAATTTATTGTGGAGAAACTAGGCTTTAGGAACAATTTGGGGAAATTAACTTTGCTGGATAGATGTGTGACTAGACTAAAATAAAGATATCAAAGAATGGATCCATAGTACGAATTTGGAACATGTCCTAGGGTTCAAGTCCCAGAGTTAAACATCGTCGGAGAGTACACCATCACCTATCTGTTGTCTGGAGGAGCCTGGACCAGTATCACCTTCCTGGGGGCCTGACAACCGTCTGTGGACAATCTGTTTGCAAACCATGGAAGTCTTCCCACCAGTAGACTGTCTCCGGATCAGATCATCTCACTGAAGCTCCACCAAAGATTGAAGACAGCGTTCGTGAAGTGATGAGTACCCTTCACCATGTTACACATCAATATTTTCAAATTTTATGATTAGGCCTATATATGAGTTGTAAAGTAGAAAAGTATGGACTTTGGAGAGGACAAGAAGTTTTAGGGAAATGTTTATGTAAGGTTTGATCGATCAAAGAAAGGGGAGGGTAAAATTAAAAGGGGAGGGGGGTTAGTAATGGTTGTAAAGTTTATTTTAGTTTATGTGAAGTAGATAGTTTTTGTTTATTTTCTAAGGTTTAAAACATACTGAACATTTGTTAGTTTTAAGATTTTGCTTCATTATATTGGATTTTTACTGGAATAATAAGACTTCTTATTTCAGCATGCCCTTCTTGCCTCCTTTCACAGCACGTTACACTTGATTTTAAATTTTAGATACTTAGGTGTGTCAGTATGAAATGGATTATATTTCCGAATTTGATCAAAATATGATCATAAAAAAGCAAACCAAGACAGTTTACTTATTATAAGAATAACATTATAATTTCAAATTCGGTTTTCAAAATTATTTTCTATAACCATAATCGCATAATAATACTTCAATATACGAAATCGTTTGTTTTGTATGCTCTACAACATGGTAGGAAAGACTTTTTGCTCGAGCTATTGTGCAAACGAACATTTTATTCCCCTTAATCTCTATATGGGAAATTCTATAAAATAACGCTGTGATAGTTAACCATGTGATTGGACCATCTTAAACAATACATCCAACAGGCACGTTAATAGTAAAAAGTTGCAAACCTGAAATGATAAATCAGCCAAGATTAAGGTTTGAATTACGTAAAAGTTAACTCTCTTTTAAAACAATTTTCAACCGTTCCTAAGAAACGACGTTCTTATCAACCATAGTAAATTTTTGAGTTTATAAACAAGTATTTTCACTTGCAATGGATCAAGTCCAACCTGAACCAAACACCGAAGAAAAGGAGGATGTTATGGACCTCGAGGTGAATATACTTCAAATGTGGATGGTGATTAAACGGTTAATATTAGAGGAGGAGAAACTCTCTACATTGGAAACCGACCATAGACGTGCGGGAGGATGAAAGAATATCGGCGAGTAAAGAAAAATATGTCTAGACATCAGTGAAATTTGTATAGGAAGCCATGGCGGTTCGTTTTCACACAAATTACAATAAAACTTCTAGATTCATGCTCAAATATATTATTTGTAATTGAAAATGAGTACTTAGATCAGACACCCTTTGTAAATATTTGATCTTATCCAACCTACTAAATGTTGAAAAACCCCGCTAGCCAGTCTTGTTTCAGTGGAATTCCTTAGATGTTTGATTACATTAGCCTATTAGATATGGCCACTGATTGTTATTTGCATTACTATATGATAATTCCTGATCTACAGGTCAACCCTATTGTTTGCATTGCAGTAAAAGTTAATTGGAGAATTGATTGGTCAATTGTTACAGTGGGTTATGGGGGGTTGCAAATATTGAAAATTGATTTGGAGACTAGCGTTATATTTTGGGAACTTTTTCACGACTAGTTGCGAGATGAACACGTTGTATTACCAGCATATTCACAAAACTTGGAAGTTCGGACCACTCGAAGCGTTAACGATTCGGGCTGTCGGAAATAGGTTCAGTTACATTACTTTTACTGAAGTGACCAAACACAAGATAACTATAAAAACAAAACTAGCTAATCCCACAACTTAGAAAAAAATAAATTATAACGACTTTCCACTCGTAACATTTTAAAATATTTGTATGTGCCAATATAAAAATATATTTTTTTAAATAAGTCATTAAAAAACGATGATTCCCTAGAATATTTTATTTGTGTGTCTAATCTCCAAGCGAAAAAATCCATCCATTTTTCTTACACCCAAAAACGATTCCGTGAGATTAATTTTGGGACACAAACTTACCATCTTCTAGTATTCTTCTAAGCCCTTCAAATAGATGTATGCATTACATAAGTTTATAAACATAAAGTTTGATAATAGAAACACGAGAAAAATAAACAATTCACATCTAATTTATCTATACACATTGTTTTGTCTAGACTCCTTCAGAATATGATAATGATAACGGTAAGTAGATACTTGACTTGATGTTCTACTTATGGTGATTCTACTTGAACTTGAACCGTTGTGTCTATTATAATCTTTAATATTACCGCGCTGCTTCGATGTTCCCCTTACTGAAATTTTACTTGAACTAATCTATCGTTGTGTCTATTATCATCTTTAATATTATTGGTCTACCTCGATGTTCTACTTATTGAAATTTTACTTGAACTAATCTATCTTTGTGTCTATTATCATCTTTAATATTATTGGTCTACCTCGATGTTTTTCTTGAGGTTATCTTACTTGAACCTATCTATCTTTGTGTCTATTATCATCTTTAACATTATTGGTCTACCTCGATGTCCTACTTATTGAAATTTTACTTGAACTAATCTATCTTTGTGCCTATTATCATCTTTAATATTATTGGTCTACCTCGACGTTCCCCTTATTGAAATTTTACTTGAACTAATCTATCTTTGTGTCTATTATCATCATTAATATTATCGACCTACCTTGATGGTCTCCCTGAGTATGGCAATTTCCCTTGTCAGATGTTCGTTCTCAGCAAACAATACTTCCATCTGCTGCTGCATCTCCAGGCTCGGCCCCCGCATCCTTAACCGCAGCTCTTCCTCCAGCTGTCGTACCAACATCGCTTGTTTCTGAAACGAAATCAAGGATGTTAGAATTATTTTTACTTTCTCTATACATAGACCTGTATATGGACAAGTTTTAATTTCGTCAAAGTTTTGGGTGGATGTCCTAAACTTTAGTGATTTTCCCCATAACATATCATAGTTAGTCCAACCGCTTACCCATGAGAATGTTAACAAGCTATTTTGAGAAAGTAAGAGTCACATTGCTGATATTATGTGTTTACGATAGAAGAGATTAAATTATAATACAATGTAAATCTACATGAAATACTAGGTAGTTAACAACTTTTGGGGACATTATGGAATGCCAAAGTTTATAATTGATTTATTGACGAAAATTCTAAAAGAATAGTTTGGACACAAAGCCTGTGGAAAAATTTTGTTAAAAAGCAAATAATATATAAGTTGTGAATGTTCCTTTTTCAAAATTCCGGACCCTTAAGACAAAAAATATATGTAAAGTGCCCATGCCATTATCTTTCCTTATACGTAATCATTTTGCAGAGCTTTAACATTATATTTTCTTTTGAAACTTGTGTGGAAAATGGGTTTGCATCCCAAATCATACTTTTATTTGACCGCGCACATCACTAAACAGTTCTGGTTTCGAATTTACTACACCTTAGTTTTATTCATGTTATAAATTAGGAGCGCACAACTTATTAACAAAAAGTAAACCTCAATTATAATTTTAATACTGAATAACTTATAAGTATAATAATTTTTGTAATACATAATTACAAGTGAAATAAAATTTTTATTTCGATCTCTATTGTTGGTCGAATGTATAATTTAATTGTTTGTACGCCTCATTGATAAAACGTGGTCATTAAGTGCAGTAAGTTAAAAATATAAAAGTATACAAAACATACTTTCAAAATGTTCTAAAGATCATAGATTTTCAGACCTGGTCGTAATGAGGAACTAGATGTTTCAACGGTAAGTGTGCAACGCTATATTTCACTGTTACTATCGGATAGCGTGTTACAAGATGTATGGACGAGATTGTAATCCCTAGGAGGAAGTGTAATTCATTACACTGATTGGCTCCAAACTACCCTTACAGCTTACAGGCAGATTAGAAAGCAGAAATTGGCAATCAACAAAATCGGAAAACGATTTATGAATTGTCAATCAATGAAAACACGATTTTTGAAGGTGACTATTATGTTTATGTCAACATTTCGTAATTCGTGCTGCTTTTATCTATTCATGTTTTTGAGCCTGTACAGCATTTTCCCCAACCCTTGTGTTTTCGTAATGAATGGACGGTTTGTGTTTTCGTGATGAATGGACGGTTAAATATTTTGGAGTGTTTACCGATGGAAAGATAAGCACTGAGTAGGCCTATCATTTTGTAATTTGAGAAACCTCATCTCGACAAGGAAAATTAAAAGTTTCAAAGTTGCTTACGAAATAGAAAGTGGGCTTATGAAGCACTGAGGAACTACTTTTTATACTAAAAAAGCGGATTCATGTAACGAGATAGCTTGTAAAAATCTAAGACACGTGTTCGGAGGAATGCCATGTTCAAAAGCCTTCGCCAAGGAAGACACTCAAGTACTTTAATGTATTTTCTGGACAAGAGTAATTATTGTTTTATAAAGGACATGTACAATATATAAATTAATACATTTCAGTGAAACTACTGGGTTACCTGGAGAAATCAACGTTGCCGTGTTCACGGTAGGAAAAGTATTTCAATGTGCTTCTAGTATTATTAAACTAAGATCATGAAAAAAAGTGATGAAAAAAAGTGATATAATGATACACAGCCTTACTTTATTCCATCGGAACTCTTGACGGGTTATTTAAAAATCTACTATAAGCACAGAGGTAAATTTTTTTATGTAGGCTATGTATACTAGTGATAGTGGAATAATCAACTTTGTATTTTGCTAAGGAAGATTCAAATAAATTCCATTTTATTTCAAGAACAAACAATCTTATCAAGCTTAAAAATAAATGAATTCATAGAATCAAAAACACTTCAAAAATGTTTTCCAAATCTTATATTGTTGCCAGAACTATGTTTTAATTTTTTATTGGAAGTATTTACTCAGCATTATTAGTTCAGATACGATTAGAAAGCTCTAAGAATATAAAACAAGTTTGTTTAGATAAAAGTCTAACAGAATTTATTTTCACTTTTATGAAATTAGGGAACAAGATATTTTAGAACTGTTTACATCAAAATTTAATGAACACCCTGAAACTTTCATAATTCATATTCCCAAAAATTTAAACTGAAGTGAATAAAGTATTTTTTTCAAAATGTGTATGTTTGTATTTGTGTTTGTTTCCGAACGTCTAACTTTTTTCATAACACACTTAGCGGAAAGCTACACAATAAAACCATAGTCGACAGTTCCTCATCTTTTGTTACAAAAATATCGATTTCAATCATAAAATTATTTAGCAGTAATTAATAATTTAATCCATTAATCGGATGATCGTTAAAGAGAATAAAATCTCGATAAAGTATAGCTTGAACCAATTATTAGGATCTCTTGGAGGTTTGGAGGAAATTAAAACTTAAAATTTAATCAGGAGAGAATCAAGGAAAGTTTCCAACTCTGGTAATGAACTTTGAAGAGGTTCCAAAATGAACCCAATAGTGGTATTCCTTACTGAGCAAATATTTCATTTAGCATTGTTGTTCATTTATAAAATTTACATTTTTAACAGAGGTAAATAAATTTGAGTGAAAATGTTTTATATTCTTCTTTCTAAACTACTGTTAGTAAATTAACTGTGAGTTAGCTTAGCTATTTTACAACTTATGACAACGAGAGATTTTCACTACAATTTGCCAAAGCACTTCGTTTACCTTTCTTTATTATATAATCTAAGATTAAAATTAATGTAATCATTGACAGGCTAATATTTATGAGATAGTTTTAACTATAGTGTGGGGGACATATTATGACATTGAGAGGACATCCATTCTTATAAACAGATTTTTTCCTGTTGCAAAGCACGGGGCTAGCAATAAAATATAAAGCAAATGAATAATCGAAAACGAATAAAAATGTACGTAATTAGTATCATATAGAAATGTTTAAAAAATACTACAAAAGGTTTAACCGTGCTCTACAAGAAGGATGAGTCTTAATAGTAATCATAAGATTGCTGGTTCGATCCTGAGAAAAAGTATTAGTTTTAATGGTTCAAAATGGGATTTTTACCCATAAAATACCATACTTACTCCCACTACTTGTCCAAGATAAGATTTGAAGATAAACTAATGGTTTTTTATTCATTATATTATAAAAGCTATAATGGAAGGAAGTATGTGTCATATTGCAAATACCATTTATTACATACACTATTGCTTATTTAAACCAGATTGTTACGACCTAAAAATAGAATGATTTCTAAAACCTGGACCTTTGTAAATTTTTCCGTACGCTGATACCTAATCCAACCTTATGTTTAGTAGCCCATCCTAAAGAAATAAGCTTAAAAACTACTAAAAACAAAATGTTGACCACACGTGTATGGAAATAAATCAATAAAGCAATACTAATAAGCTTAGCATCGTATCTTTGAAACACCCGAGGGACAGTGCCCTGCGAAATTTTAAGACCATGAATGAGACAAAATTACCTTCTAAACTTACCAAGCTGAAACATAGATAGCAACACGAAATCGAAAACACCAACTTCCAAAGAGTTGTTCAAACCCATATTGTTACCAGAACTTTAAAAGAGACACGTAAGAAATATTTATTTCTGTAACTAGTGTGCAAAGGCAATTTACACTCGCGTTACACATAGTATTATTCCTACAGTTACTATAAAGCATATAAATAATTAGGCTTTCAAACACTACAAGCCATTTTTAGGTTAGGTTATAAATCCAAGCGTTGAACCAAATGGGAAACGCTGCACCAGCTGGTCGTAGTCGTATTACATTTAAGTGTTGCCAGCTTATTTTCAATCGTACACGTATTACGTGCCTAATGAAGGCACACTGTATTGTGTTTGTTGGTTGGAATACTGGGGTGCGGAAAAATATGTGTGCGGCAAAAGTAAGTAAATGCAAAAGTAAGTAGCTTTAAAACTGTTTTGGGGGGAACGTCGTTCCCAAACAGGTTCACAAAGAATTTAAGCGAAAATATACAAAATATACAAAAGCATGGTTTTTTATTTATAAGGATTGCAATTAGCAAAATAGTAATTTTTAAAGATTCAAGCAAAGGAATATATTTACGACAGAGTTCGATCGTAAATGGGATTGGTCCAGCTATACATCACATTGTTTGTTTTAACTTGGTGTCAAGTTGTTCAGTCAGAGTCAGCACTTGGGTAAATTAACTTTGCACCACATAGATCCATAAGTAACTCAGTTCAGACAAAAAAAAAATTAAAAGAGGACCATTTATATTATTTACACATTTACTACGAGAGAACATATTAAAATTTGTTTTAAAAAGTTAAGCCTATTCGGCTAGAACATTTACTTTGTGTTAAAAATATAAAAGGATTATATTTAGATGTACCATTGTGTAAAATCTGCACTGATATTAGAAGCAAAACTTAATATTTTATTGCTTAATAATGTATACGTAAATATCTAGTTATGTTAGCGTGTCGCTGTTCTGTTTCGCTATTTTCATCACCTTTGTGTTTTTTTGTGATTTTACCATATGGGGAATCTATTACCGTAAGTACCGTCCGTAAGTATCGTGGTAAGACCTAAACCCGAGACCACTTAACTTTCTCGTTTTTGAGATATCAAAAACAAAATCCGTTAAAACATGTATGCACAAAGGACCCATGCACGAATTGGGCATTTTATTGGGTTCAAAAACTAATTTAAATGTAAAATAAATGCAAAACCTTTTTTAAAAAATATCTACACTATTATTACTGAAGAGTGTTATTACTTACTCATCTAAATCATTCTGTAATTATCACAAAAATACTTAACATCCATTTTCATAAACTGTTTCGACTGTCTCTTGTTTACAAACTATCTGTGATTAAACATTCAACAAGGAT